AAAAATAAATGCTGCTGACAAAAAATATGATCTGTCTCTTAAATGGTCAATGTATAATATTGTATACCGAACGAGCATACATTCTGGTAGCAATGTTAAATTTTATTTTAGTTCCAGTGAAAATCCTTAAAAATTTCATTTTTACTATCATCAAATTATTTTAGGTAATATAAGATACAGAAAGAACACTGCTCTCTCTGGATATTTCTGGAAAGTAAAACCTAATGGTAGTTCCTATTCTACTAACTGGAATATTATAGCAAGAGCCAAAGCTTAGAATAGAAAAAGAAGTAAATGTAACTTATGTCTTGCTGAAAAGCTGGTTATCTTAACACTTAAATAATCCAAGCTTATTAAACAAGAGAAATGAATTGATGGTTACATGTAGGCATGAAATAAATATCTGCTTAAGTACATTGATCCAGATTAATTTTTAATGTAAATTACGATTTATATTTAATGTAAATTACTCTTTTCTTGATTTTTTTTTTTTTTTTTTTTTTTTTAATAAGTATATATAAAAACAAAATTTTAATTGAAAAAAAAAAAAATGACTATCCACAATTCAAAAATAAAAAAATTTAATTTTATTACATACATATATAAATCCCTCTTATTTTAATTGCCAAATATAATTTTTGAAATTAAAAAACTGTATTCCCAGCCTAATATGTAGATATACTAACATTGTGATTTAAAAAAAAAAAAAAAAAATCATGTAATGGTGAGTCCGTACTCAGCACCTGAAAACTGTGTTGTGCATGTATCTCTGAGTCATGCTAGTGATGAGGGATATAATATATATATGATTAATGTAAGTAAAACTTTGTCACTTAGCTGATTGATGATATCTTCTGCATCCTGTCCACGCTTCAGGCATTATCAGCAATTTACTCCTTATATTTTTTCTTTTTTATATACATTTAACATTGGCTTATTTTTCTGTATTATATTTTTTTTTGTGCATGTGCAACAATGCACCCTTCTCTGCAGATGTGCATTTGCATGCATATTATTTTTCATATGTGCCAACCACTACAGAAATAATAATGAAAAAAACATTTTTTTCTTTTCACTTGTTTTCTCATTTAAAAGTTGAATGGTAAAATCTGAAATGATAAATTTAGTAAATAATACATTTGGGTTTTTGTTTTTTAAAAAGTTAATTTTGACAAATATTTATTTGACCTGAACTCATTCATGCATGACAGCAAACTAAATTAGCTCTGGGTACTAAGCCTCATGGATGAATATTATTTTAAAATTTGTATATATTATAACAATGAGAAAGAAAAAATAACTTTGAATTCAAAACCAGCCTGGAGAGGGTTGGGCTTTGTCAGGCCATCATGGCCAGGAAACACCACTGTTACATGCAATACATGTGGTTCCCCCTATGACCCTCATAGTTTATAGGTCTCATGATTGTAACATATCACTCCTTCTGCTTTGCTTTATATCTGTACTGGATGAAATTTAGTTATAAAATGTAAGCAAATTTTAAAAAAGAATCTCTTTCAATCTACTTAGCATAGTTGCAATATAAACCCCAGATTGTATCTTAGTTTTGAGGAAAGCCAATGTTCCTGAGTAAATATCTGCAACAGGGATTAGCCATCTACCCAAATAAGCTTCATAGTCTGAAACTTAGAGCTGACTTCCAGCATTATCTTGAATCTGTATCAGATTAAGCACTGTCATCCATTATTAATTTCTGTTGTATTTCTTTTTTCTTAATTTTAGTTGCTTTTCATTTTAAATACTCAGACTGTTAGTATGCAACCATTTGCATACATTGCACATTGGGAATAAAGAAGGATCTTGTTGGAATGTATTACTTTCCCAAAAGTATCATATTAACCAAATTGGAAACTTGTTGTTTTTGGTAGTTAAGTCTGGTTGAAGAATCATCAGAAACATATTCTGCAATAGATGTCATGTTTACTGAAAAATCTAAGAAGGTAATTTGGTATGGGCAAGAAAAGGACTAACTTAAAACAATCACTACAGACATAACTCATTTTCCAAATGCATAGCTTCAAGCTTATTTTTGAGTGCATGTGCCATTGGCTGTGAAAACCGTGTCTTGCTCTGGGCTGATCTACCATAGATTTATATATGCTAATGGTAATATTAGCCGTTTCTTTATAAGGAAACATTCGGCATTCATTAACCAAGCAGCCAGTTCTGTTTTCAGTCGAAATTTATAAAATTTTTTTTTTTGTAAAAGAATTTTTCAGGAAAATGAGTTTTTCAAGTTAGCATTATTTATAGTATGAATGGGGACTTCCTTCCTGAAGTTTTATTTGAAGTAGTGTGGAATGTTAACATCTTAATTCCATTATTTTCTTTTCAAGTTACATGTGATATCCATTTTAGTTGTTGCTGTTATTGAAAGACTTCAAATGATGTCATTTCTGTTACTTAGTACAGTTCTTTTGTTTGTAATTCTGTAACAACCCCAATCCACAAGGTTCAAAGAGGGATGGTCTTTGCTAAGGCCTACAGATTTAATTTGCTCAAAAACATTTTTAACCATTGATCTGAAAAAGCAATTGTATACACCCTACACTTTAGATATTTCTAAATGAGTTTGTTGCCAGACATATTATCCATATGAAGTTCAGTCTGATAAGGCTATTTAAGAACATCTTTAGGTTAATATTTTGGTGCTGAAGCAACTTCTGGTGTTAGGTAAAACTTAGCTCTAGCGCAACCTCTTCTATGTTCAATTTCCTCTTCTCTTATACTTAATTTGTTATAACTGATCCATAGATCAATGCACTTCAAAAGTTTTGTAGCCCTCTCTTCCACTTCAATACCTTCATGTCTCACACTTTCCATCTGTGGAACTCCTTTCCTCTTACTTGCTTCCCTGGTAGCTATAATCACCAATTATTCAAATGCAATGTCAGTCAACATCTCCAGACGCTTTGGTCTATTCCCTGTCCTTCTCTTCATCCTTTCCTCTCTCACACCTCTTTACTCTTGCTCCCACTCTCTGTAACACTCTTGCATGCTAGTAGCACTCTCACCTTTCTTGGGGTGAAAAATTTAAAAAAAAAAAAATAGTAATTCTACATTCTGAATATAGTTTTTTTTGTCTTTCTGAAACTTGAAACCACCCATAAATACAGATGAAGATCAGTCTTTGTAAAGAAAAAAAATTTTTCTAATCATTTCACCCCCAAGCAAAATGATAATACCACTAAGACTTGGGGTTACTGAGAATAAGGAGAAAGGTTAAGAGAAGAACAAGATTCAGGAATACAGAAGATGGTGACAGATCACATTTAAATTTTTCTGAAGAACATAGGTGGCAAAGAAGCAAGAAACCGGAAGAGTGTTCCATAGGCAAGAAATGTGAGAAAAACTATTAGAATAGTACTTAGTTGCATCTAGCTAGTTCAACAGTAAAACTGTGAGACTTAGTTACAAAACTAGTAGTATGCTTAAACTCTGCATAAGTTTAAGCATACTACAAGGTACTAAGGAAGAGAGGTCATTAGAACAATTGCCATTAAAATATTTGTAGAAAAGATAAAAAAAAAACCATGGCAGTGGGACAATGACTGAAGTTAAGATGCTGGTTCAGGATTATTACCATTGCAGGTCCTTCAGTAACAGTGAAAGCAGTATCATTCAACTATCAAATATAAAATTGTTTTCAATTTTAAATTCTGTATAAAAAGTGTATTTGTGAAACAATATTAAAATTTATTCTTTCATTTTGTCATATTTGAAGAATGACAAATTAGTATAGTGTCTGAACGTAAATCAAGTAATTCAATTTCTTCAGAACCTGATAGTAAATACCTGTATTATCCTTGAGCCATACTTATGAGAGATTAAATACTATGACATGCAACAAAATTTAGTGACATAATTTAATAATATAAAATAAAAGGATATTAATAAATAATATAGATAAAAATAATACCACATTTGTTTTTTGTCTGTTTTTCTGTTTGATTTTTTTTTTCTTTTCCCCTTTATATTGGGATTGTTTTTACTTGACTTTTTCTGTCCGTATTACTTGCTGTTCCCCAAATGCTGAGTATTTTATTACTTGGTATATATAATCTGGATATGCAGCAGTGTAATGGATAGTGGCTTGGAGTGAGAAATTAGAGCTATTTTCAAATTTCATTTGAGATGGTGCAATTGCCCTTTGGAAAGGTATGAATGCGTATCTTTTCCTCCAAGGACAGACTGGACCTGATAACCTCGGTTGCTGTGGTTGGAGAACCAAAGGAAAAAGCAAATAAAGAAAAAAATGCCTTACTGCCACCACAAAGACCTTACATGTACATTGAATGTAAACAAATCCAAAGAAAAAAATGGGCCTTTATAAGGCTAATATTTAAGAAAGTTACATTCTTGCAAATACAAAATTTTGCTGATAACATGCAAATTTCCAACCATCAAAAGGAATTTAAAAATCATGTTACCAATGGGAGAATTGTTTTAGGTACTACAATTGTTGCATAGTCAAGTGTGGATTTTCTGTTGCGGATGTATGGTAAGAGCGCAAGATCGAGAAGACAACAAGATGACGAAGAAAGAAAATATTTATTGTTGCCAAAGTGAACATCAAAGAACTGGCAAGAAGGACAAGTGAACACAAACTACAGATGGCAACCAGTCTAGGAAAAGGAAAGCTATGAATTCAAATCAACCTGAAGAGGGTTGGTCTCCTTCAAGCAATCTTGCCCAATTATTGATTGATTGATTCATTTATTTTCTATGGCTTATCAACTCTTTACATGTTATTTAAAGCCAGAAAATATTTTTAGACTATAAGAATAGAAAAAAAAATTTTTTAAATAATAATAATCATTTAGTGATACAAGTCTTACTAATTAACTCATAGCTGGGGGAGATGAGTTAGATTCATACTGTTTCCAATATAACGAACCCAACTGAAATTGGAACTCAGGTTTCCAATTAACAATTTTGAGCCATTATCTATTACACCACATGCACATCCAAGCTTACAGCACTCAAGAAGTCACTCATCTAGGTACTAACCAGGCTCAATGTTGCTTAACTTCAGTAATTGTATGGGAACTGGTGTTTCAATGTGAGGTGGCTGTAAACCTGATCTTGCCCAAGACACATTACTTCTGCTTTGGCTGCAGTACATATGGTATCTCTACAAGCCTAATATCTTATTGGAATCCTCATGGTGGTGATATATAATCCACATAGAGTATGCACTTTTTTTTTTAAATAAAGAAAAAGATTTATTGAATAATCATGCAGTATATGAAAGATTGGGTCTTAAATATCCAATTTGATGTGTATGTTTTTTTTTTGTTTTTTTTTGTTTTGTTTGTTTTTTCAAGATCTCATGGAAAATTGATTCTACAAACAGTACCTTGATATAGGTTTGCTTCAGAATTTAGATTTTAAAATATCTGAAGCATGAAAGTTGTGAATGTCATTTAACCAGACAGGGTAGGTAATTTAATTTCTTCAGAACATGACAATTTTGTTGCTGAGTAGATCTTAAAAGTGTTGCACTTGTTGTGATTTGGCTATTTTCATAATAGCAAAATCACAACTATAATTTGGTTTACTCTGTTTGTTACTTATTTTATCTTTGGATTTTTTGCTTTCAAAATTTAAGTAATTTTATCTGTTTTTTTTTTTCCCCTTTTATTTCTCAAGTATTTAGACAATACTTTGAAAAATAATGAAATATTTAATTATATATATTGTTAAATATCGTCACATAGCAAACTACTAAGTAAACATAACAGGATGTCATTTTTGATGGTGAACATCTGTTGTGATGTGATTTTCCAAGCATAGCTTAGATGTGGCACAAGGCTGAAAGTATGGGGCACCCAGTAAGGATCAAACTCACTATTCAGTCATAATTGTTCTAACAAGACAAGCTTGCTAACAATTACACCATTTTGAGGTGCCACTCAACATCTCTGTTGTAATGTCCATATAATCACTCTAATGAAGAACAGCATAATAAAAAGAATTATCCAGATGTTGAGCAGTATTTTTTCTTTATTTTCTCCTGAAACTGAAGCCACTATATAAAGCTTAGAATGGCTCATGATCAAAGATAATAGATATTCATTGTCTGTTAGATTTAACAATATATGTTTGAACAATGATCTGCTAACTGAATGCACTATTTTTTGTGTGTGTGTGTGTATATATATATATATATATATATATATATATATATATATATAATGTTTTGCAATGCTCTTTTGATCTCATGGGTCTTTTTGTGCATTCAAGACAATGTGCACAATTAGAAAAAAACAAATTCATTTTTTTTTTTTTTTGTATTTTTTTTAGTTGTTCCTAGATGTGACTGCTTGGGGGATACCAGGTACTGTAAATTTATATTTGGAGGGCCAAGTTCCAATTTCAATTGTTTTTTTTTTTATATTCATTTATAATGTTAATTCCATTGAGGAAGGTATGAACCTACTCTTCTCTACCAGCTATGGGTTAAGTAGTAAGTGTTGCTATTAGTAAATCATTACTATCTCCAAAAATATATACTGGCTTTAAAATAACCTGCAAAAGGTTAAGTTTAAAAAAAAAAAAAAAATCAATTTTATTTAAATTCACTTATTTAAGGCATTATACTGAAATAAAGAGATTTTTTTTTTTTTTAAATAATGTTTGACTGATACAAGGCCCAAGAGTAATTAATTCATGCTCGAGGGTTACTGAAGGAGATTGTTGTATGAGCAGTTAAAGTAACAAGTAAGATGTTCAGTTTATAAAGATATGTGAGAAAGATAACAGTTGAACCTAGACTTGAAGAGGTTAAGATTGGGAGACTGTTCACCTAATTAGTGCTTCTTAGGAAGAAGCTGTTTGAATGAAACTTCCTCCTTACTAATGGAATACAAAGGGAATGAAAATGATTCATCCCAGTGTACATATGGTGGAACTGAGGAGCAAAGATCAAAACTAGTGAAACTAAGAAATGTAGTTTAACATTTGCCATAGAAATAGCAATAGATTCATTCAGCCCTTTCTAGGTTACTTAAAGCCAGAAAAATTTTTTTGGTTGTAAGAATTTTTTAATCATTTAGTGATGTTGACATTAGGGTCACTGAAATTTTAAACTTTTAATCACATCAATGTAAACATCACTTTCCAATGAAGCTCTAAAGAATGAAATGTATCATATGAATATATATACACACATACACCCCCATATATTTCTGCATGTAAGATGACCCTTTAAATCTTAAAAATCACCCTTAAAATTTGGGAGGTGTCTTATACTACAATTCTAAAAAAGAAACCTTCAATTCTAAGTGATGTTTGTTAGTAGGCTAACCTCTGCCTCATTGTGATTACCAATAATGTACATGGAAATATTCACATTATCAAATAAACTGATAATAAAAGTAATAGAACCATTTCTACCTTATATATTACTGGCATAACTTCATAATAAATTGCCTATTCGAAGAATAATTCCATATCAACATAATCAGCTTGTATCCATGCAAACTCAGCTGAGGAGATGTAAACATCGACTTAGGATTGTGTTCACAGCAACATTTTATCTTTCGCTAAACTTTCAATAATCATCATGGTAGTATGAATTATGGCAGTAATAACATAATAGTCATTTCTTATTAAAAATTCATTATCATTTTGGTGTTTGTAACTGTTTAGATATAGGAAAAAAAGAGGAAGATGAAGAAGAATCAGTATTTGCAGGAGATCAAGTGATGAAACACAAACATTTGTGAATAAAAAAATGTTGAAAATGGAATGTACTATTATTGTACTGTTATTAGCAGTATTATGTGATTGTCAAAGTCTAAGTAAATGGCTACCGGGATCTTTGCAATTGTTTAGACATAGGAAAAGAGGAGCAGGTGGAGGAGGAAGAATCAGCATTCACAATAATTCATGGGATGAAATGTAAAGAAAACAACAGTTTCCCTTTTAGGGGGACGTGTGTAGGAGAAACATGATATAGAATCGGTTTTGTTATTTATTTTAAATTTTCAAGGATACAATAACATTTTCAATAACATCATCTTTATGCAATCAAGCAGTCATCTTGTACAACAGGTGTAGGATAAATTCATGAAAATTTGCTATATTTTTTTTTTTACCTCGTTATATCTAAAGGTAGCCTTATATGCAGAAATATGCTATATATATATATATAAAAGATGAGAATGAATAGAGTACAATTCCAACATTCGTAACATTTAATTTAAAAGAGGGCTCAATATGAAGTAGAGCAATATTCTTTATTTTTGTCAAAATCACAACAAAAAAGTATGTGTGTGTATATATATATATATATATATATATTTCTACGAGTGCTGTCTACTAGATTGCTGTCTAGTTTTACTGTTGAAATAGCTAAATGCAACCGCCACTTTTACTCTATTTCTTTGCTCTCATTTCCCAACAACGGAACTCTCTTCCACTTGCTTCCCTGATCACTACAATCTTCAAAATATTTAAATGCAACATCATTCACCATCTTCTGTTGTCTTAAACCCTGTTCATCTTTTCCATCTGTTCCTTCAGTTCCCTCTATACCCAGTCTTTTCACTCTCTGTAATTCTCTGTGTATTCGTGGCATTCCTGCCTTGCTTGGGGTGAAATGATTAAAAAAGAAAAATAGTCCAGTATTCTGTGAAATGCAATAAAGTACCCAGCATAGTATCCCAGCTATCTGCTACATTTTTTAATAATGTTTACCCAATAGAAGGCCCAAGAGTAATTCATAGTAGAGGGTTACTGAAGGAGGTTGTTGTATGAGTGGTAAAACTAAAAGGTAAGAAATGCAGTTTATAAAGATATGTGGAAAAGATAATGGTTAACCCTAGATTTGAAGAGGTTAAGATTGTAGTGGTTGGGGAAGCATCCTCTCAGTAGCATCACAAAGTAGCGGTTCTTGGAAAGATGTTATCCAAGTGGAACTTCCTTCTTACTAATGCATTGGTGAGCCATCAATCCACAAGTGGGCCTGAAGTTAGAAAGTTTTATTTTTAAACAAATGGAAAAGAAAGGAAATGAATGGTTTGGCACTGAGAAAGAACAGCTAGGGATTTGAAATAAGATAAAAGAGGAAAGGCCTGCCAGGTTTAGTGAGTGAAAAGAAAAGCATCAAGCAGGAACACAAACTGAGATAGCCAAGCCTGATGATTCATAATGTCTATCAAAGTGAAAGGTGTATTGTCTTATTGAAGGTAAACATTAAAATAGTTTTCATGAAGATCTATACTCTTATCTTTATTGATTGCAAATAAGGAATGAAAACTGTTTGAAAGAATTGCCAATTATTACAAGCTTTAAGTAAGGAATCATTTTGTGGTAGACATTGTAAACTTTTATTTTTGGATTGTCATGGTGTTCAGGTGATGCATCGGCCTTGTCTGAATATTAATTTTTTATATATGTAATTTTTAGGGTTAAAAAAGGCATCAAAATCCACAATGAGATTAGAATATCACAAACAAAACATGTGAAATAGAACAAAATAAGCATAGGAATAAAAATAATAAATTGCTTTAGTATACATTTCAGAGAAATGATTGTACATTTTAAAAAACATATGTACAAAGAAATAAAGAAATCTTGCTTATCTATTGGTGGCAACATATTTTATTCCAGATTGTCCAAAACATCTGCCACCTTTGACAGTCAAAAACAAAGAGAAAAGTTGTTTTTTTTTTTTTGTTTTTTTTTGTTTCCTTTGGCAGTAAAATGCTGGTTCTGATGCATCATGGGAGTATTCTATATTTTATTTAACTTTATAAATCTAACTTTATCTTTCTTTATCTTTTAATTCCCATTCTTATTTGTATCTTAAAGTACTTTTTTTGCTTATTTTTTTTATTTAAGTTTTATTACTAAATATTTTGGTTCCAAAGTACTACATATTCTAGTCATAAGGGTTGGGGGTTTATTTAGTAATTTATTTATTACTATCACTACAGGATCATGTAAAAGAAAAAAATCACAAACAAAAAAACATAATCGTAATGGCTTGTTGAGCACAAAGCATTTTTAGCACCTTATCTTGACATCATTACTTCAAATGATAGGTAATGTTGAA